CGCCCGTGGCCCGGCCCAGACCGCCGGTGCAAATTTTTTTTTTTTGGAACCGGGACGGAACCACGGCCATTGCGGTTCGGTCCAACGGACCGGCCCGAATATGGCCGGTTACGGGCCGGTCCGGGCCGGTTCGGTACCGGTTCGCGGTCCGGGCCACGGGCCGGTTCGGCCCGTGACCATGTCTATGCACACGCATGCATACACACATACAACACAGGTGCAGTCGAGCAGCTCACGAGCCGCTCGTGAGCACTCGACTCGAGCTCGGTCAAACTCGAGCTCGAGTAGTCGAGCAAACGAATCGAACTCCAGCATCATTTCAAGAGGTTCATAAGATCGACGAGTTGTTCGACTTTTTATTTTACATAAATACCACAAATATAACTTAATTATCAATATTAGAAGGTCAAAATTATCTATTTAGATTAAAAATAGTACCTTTATATCTAAAAATTTAGTTGTTAAAATTTCGTATCGAACTCGAGCCATGTCGAGCGCCGACCTCGAGCATTCTTATTTTCTTCACGAGTCGAGTCGAGCATCGTTTTACATGGCTCGTCGAGCTCCAACTCGAGCAGTGAAGGAAAAAACTCGTTCTGCGCTCGACAACATCCATGGTCGACTCGACTCGACTCGTTTGCAGCCCTAACTACTGTCACCGGTTGGTTGAAAGGCATGAAACAATTGCCGGTGCCTGTCCATGGGGCAATAATTTTCATGTACTGTAGCTCAAAATCATTCAGTTGAAAAACTGTTATAAAGTCCTTCATTTTTTTAGTTCAGCAGACCAATCAAAAACTAATTCATCGCTAGTACGTTTTCGTTCCCTTCGCCTAGGAAAGAATTAGATCCATCGAGCTTCACATAAAATCGTAACAACCGTAAAAAATTTCATCGGCGAAGCATAAAACAAACCGCCAAACAAAAAGAAAACGCACATTCCAAAAGCTGAACCCGCATTCAGATAACCAGTCGAACAAACAAGAAATACACACGAGCCATCTTATCTATTGGTAGCGAGTTCCAATAAATTATTTTTACAAACAATTAATACATAAATTTTGCCAAAGTTTTTGTTCATTCATTCCTTTTGAGAGTAAATACGCAGAAGGAACGCGGCCCCAAGTATTAAAAGCGGCAGCACAAAGAGCAGAATCTTGGATGAGTCCTCACCCGAGCTCTGATTCTCCGTGGCTGCACCCGTGATAGTAGTGCCACCAACATTGAAGTCCCGTTCGATGATTGGCAGAGTAGACTTGTCAATATGGCCGATAAGGAAATTCTTCATTTGCATTTGTGCATCATCACTGTGCCCCACGTCTTCAAAGGCGTAAGTTGCATCTTTCCCTGCAATTTTTTTTACTTATTTTGGAACTTGCAGTAGAATTGAATATTCTCAAGTTGGATAATGAAAAAAGTGAAAGAATGATTAAAGGGTTCGAGTTTGATGAGATTATCACCTGTTGCAGCTAAAAGTGCATCGTCTCCTCCAGGGTGCTCTTCAAGAAATGATGTCACGTCATAAACCTGATGTAATGCTTAAGAAAATGTAACTAGAATATACACTACCTTAAAGAATGTGAGTGTCGATTTTGTCGAAAGCTCACATTATTGAGGCGAAAATTGGTTTTTCTCGCAATCTTTATGTGTGAAAATTGAAGTATCAACAAGGACCACAAATTGTCTAATTTTCCAATAATTAGATAATAAGATCCATTATTCATTGTTCATTATATATTGCATATTTTGTCGTTCCGCCACATCATCTATTTCGTTTTCTTTTTTCCATGCATATGCCAGCGTTTGGTTTGATCATTCATAAAATTTCGCAGAAGGGTTCGTTGGGTTGAAAAAACAAACATATCCACAATTACACACAGCTCGATATGCATTATGCAACTTAAAAATAAGCGAACTTACAAGAGTTGTACAGATGGAGAAAAATAAAAACGAATTATCTAAAAGAGTAAAAAAAGAAAAACGAACTCGGGGAGGTCACGAGCAAGTGGTGGCGATTTTTAAGCATTGAAACATGCCATCAGACCAAATTGTAGAATTTACAGAACACAGCCATATATTATACTCGAGGTAAATTTAAGGTAGCTTCAATCCTCTTCAAATATTAATTCTATCGAACAATATTCATTGTAAGATCAAAAAGGCTACAATCCTTTGGTGAGCAGAGTGTTTTAAACTTTATGGCATCAGATACAGTTTGCATTTCTAAACTTGTTCAATAGGCCACCAATTTATGCAAAATTATTACAAAATCCACAACAAAAATCTAGGGGTTTAAGGATAAAATTACACCACATTTGTAATAGGATTAATAAAATAGCAAACAGGCTGTGGAAAAAAAAAATGAACACACAATCCAGATCCACCATAGTTCAGGAAATCATGAATCCCACAGCAGATCTATGATCTAAATTCAAGAGTTAACTAGCAGCATTATGTTACCTGAAGAAACAAACAATAACTTTGTGTTGACAGTTAAAATGCTGAAATTAAACTAAAATAAATGAAAAACTCAATTTTCAACCACATTTTCACTGAGAATTTAACAGCTTGAATAACAGAAACACAAAATATATATATATATACACTTAAAATGCTGAAACTAAGTTAAAAAAAAAACACTGGAAATTTGCAATTTTCAGCCACATTTGAACTTCAAATCAACAGCTTTAATAAATGAAATTCACCACTTATTTGAATTAAAACCCACTTATCTCGGAATGGTTTACATATTCAATCTCCTTAACTTCAACGAAGCACGAACATTTGAGATTCAACCCAAGCCTGAACTTCTTCTTCTTCTTCTTTATTTTTTTTTTCAAGAAACACAGCAAGATCGCAACTTTACGAATGAATCAACTTATTTAAAAAACCCCAAAACAAAAATTGCTTCAACCTAACAAGCAAGAGCATCCCTTGTTCAAGATTCAGCAAAAAAAAAACTGCAAACTAAAATGAAACAAAAATAAATTAAAAATTTAAAAAACAACCTTTCCCCAGATGATAAGCCAGCAATCCTCTTTCTGGTTGTGCTTGGCAACCTCCTCAAAGGTATGAACTTTATCAGCCATTTTAGTGCAAAACAGTAGACCCAACCACTGATCGCAGAGAGAAAATCAGAAAAAGGTTAAAATTTTGAAAAAAAAAAAGGTCTTACTTTTTTCCTCCATAGAAAACTGGGAAAAATAAGGAAAGTAAAATAAAATATGGTGGAAAATCTACCTCATTCTCAACTCGCGAGGATCATGTGGACAATTTTTTTTTTGGTACAACATGTGGACAATATTAATCTGTTATTATTAAAATAGACCATTACTCCCACGTGCGCTGCTTCTGTGGACAATAACCTCATACCAATAGTTGTGCACGTGGTCACCGGCCCGGGTCGGTTTCGGCCCGTTGGCCAAACGTCCGGTCCATTGTGCGAGTTTCGAGAATATGAAAAATGATTCCACGGGTACGAGATAAGTCAAAGTTCGAGTTTTGATACTCGAGTTAGGATTTGAGCTTTTTTCGAGTTTCAATTTGGTTCTTTTATCAATAGTAACGAGTCGAATTATATAAAACTACACAAAAACCGAGTTCCACTTGTTAATAAACTAACTAAAACTTGGATCATTTATCATATGAGTCGAGTAGAACTCGAGCCATAACAAGTCAAGCCGTAATCACGAGCAACTCGTTTCGTTTAACTGTTCTAGCACAAGCCCAACTTGAAAACTTATATTGTTTTTTAAAATAAATTTATTTTTGTATAAGTAATCCAAATCACAAAATTTAATTAAGTACTTGAGTAATTTATTAAATCATAAATAATTGATTATTTCATTTGTGTTCAAGTTAATACTGACCCGTAAGTTATGAATAATTATTTATTTGAATTTTAAATCTAGAATCCAAATTTGGACTACACAGTAAATTCTCTTATATATTTCACACACAGAAACACATATTATCTCGCAATTTTTATAGATTTGTTATTGGTTACCTTTTCGTTTAAATTTAGTAACTAATTCTCTAGAATTAAATTACAAATTTTATTAACCAATATTTGTTTCAAATATCTTTCTGAATTTTAAGATGAATACATACCAATTTGTCGAATTATCATCAATATTTTATGACAAGTTATTATGAGAATATGCTAACATTTGAAAACCACATCACTTTGTTTTTATAACAAATCAACCTAAAATTCGACTTTCATACTCATACTAAATAAAATTTATACTACTTATTTTGTTTTAAAAAAATTTCAAATATACTTCTATCCATACCATTTAAATTTAGATATTTCATACCAAAATAAAATCACCCATTTTATATCATAAATTCAGATATTTATCAATAACAACACATTTCCTACTAAAATAAAAATGTCTATCAGATACCTCAAATAATATTTCAGTTTTATACCAAGATCAAATTTATTAATTTTATCAACTTTATACCATAAATTGATTATTAATTTCTAGATGCGGGAATTTTTTATAAAAAAAAATTATCAAGTTTATGTTAGATTATGGATTAAACATATTAGATTGATAGTAGTAAGTAAAATCACTGATTGTGGTTAGTCAGCACTTGAATACAACCACTGATAACATTACCAAAACCAGGTAAATAAATAAAATAATAATAAAAAGAGCTTGAAATTAATTAACATGGCATGCAAACAGTCAAACCATAATACATCAAAAGAATGTTTCAAGAAAAAAATAAAAAACAAAAAAAAGTACATCAAAAGATGGCATGACGTCATAAACACAAACACACACAAATGTGATTACCAGTCTCTGAGGGACGTAGAAACACATATTACCTCAACTGTCATGTATGGTGGCATCTGTAGACAACGAAAAGGAATTTTATTATCAAAATAAAAAATGTAAAAGTGTTTGAAGTATATCATATTTAAAGTTTGACCGATTTCTACTTGAATCCCATATTGTTCGAATTTTATGAAAACATATATATATATATATAGAATTTTGTTAACACTTTTGAATTTTTTTTCATAGTACAATACATTTTTTATAAAAATCCAAGTGGTGGATCTCTAGTTAATTTGGCCAAAAAATTTGTAAAGCATAAACTACGATTTTGACGAAGTTCAATGTGCATCGTATGATGAAATTGAAGGTATCGTTGAAAATGTCGAGTCGAGAGCTTCTAAATGACATATGATTTGTTGAAATCTACCGACCACGGCAGATTGTTTTTGATGGCTTTGGATAAAAAATAATAATACTTGAAATGGTAGGGACTAAAATTGATGATGAAGTTGGAATCTTGATTATTAAAGCGAAATGCAGATATATTTCAGGTATTCTTTTCCCCTTTAAAAAAGGGCAATGACAAGGCCCAGGAACAAATCAGTTGAAAATGGAATATTTTTGTTGATTACATCTGGCTTGTAACATTCACTTAGAGATATTAATTAATAATTCTGATTTTATCCAAATGTTCTGATAAAATATTCTTGTTCTTTTCAAAGAAAACAACACTTAGATGTGATGGCATAACTAACATCTTTGAGTTGAGGACATGTATAAAATGACATATTAACATAACATGAACCAATGCATAAAAGAATCCTATGTAATCAAGAAAATCAACATTCAATGCAAGAACCTAAAACAAAAAAAATAAAAAAATAAAAAATGGAAAATGATTAAATTACTCAAAAATCGAACCTCGGTTCGTCGGAAGTAGTGAAGCATGATCGTCGAACATTTCGCACTTTTTCACGGGAACTTTATAACTCGGCGAACTCATGTCGGGATGAACTTTCTTTCTCAACACCCTCCGAACCATCTAACCAAATATCGACTCGATTATTTCGAACAAATGAAAAACAAAAAAGAAAGAAACTGAATCAAGAAAACAGAAGTTACCGACTTTCTGCAGTTTTCGTATGGGACGAGCTTCTCGAGTGATCAGCTTCGAGTGTCCCGCATGCTTTTTAGTACATTTCGCTTTCTTTATTACATTATTATTATTGTTGTTGTTGTTGTTTTTTGTCGGCTTTTTGTCGTTCGCATGGGAATCCGCAGCTGAAAACAGGTCGGCTAATGTGATCCTCTGTTTCTTCTCCATCATCACATAATCACAATACCTAATTTCCTTGTTGTGATTATTATTATTAATAATTCCCTCCATTATTAGTCCCTTGTAATCGTGCTCGAAAGCTGCAAGGACAAAAGGGTTCTTCACTTCCTCTTCATTATTTTCTTCTTCTTCTTCTTCTTCTTTTTCAGAGGCTGTCTCGTTTTCTTCAGTATTTTCTTCATCTTTTTCCACTTCGTCTTTGAAAAATGATGAGAATGAGCTATTGTTTTCTTCATTGGGCTCGTTTAATGGATTGTATCCGAATGTTCCAATGGTTAGAATTCCTCCACTAAAGAGCTGATCAAACACATTGTTCGAGTCGATGTTGTTTTCACAAACGACTATCTTGTTTGCATTTTCTTCTAATCCACCTGTCGAG